CTGCATTCCCACGGGATAGCGCTGGGGGCCAGGAGGGCCATAGGACTGCCCGGGGTAGGGGCTGCTCTGCTGTGCCTGAGAGTGAGGGTTATTGCCCATGCCGTACAGCTGCGGTCTCTTCATGACCATCGGATCCATTGGACTGCCCTGTTGATAAACACAAGCAAAAGAATATTTAAGACACGGAAAGGAAAAGGTCAGAATCATCGGGCTTATCGTGGGCAGACTACACACGTGTTTTCTCAGTGCTTTATACATCAAATATTGACTTGACTTACAAACTGGCAAAGTACCATAACCTGGTTCACATATTAATTAGATGAGGTTTTGAATGGTGATTTTTTGGACTTCCACCGCATTAAAAAAAAAAAAAGAAGTTTTGCACTCAAGATTGTCTCTTACCCACAGAAAAAGCAGAAAAACTGCAAATAAATTTCAGCTTAAAAAATAATTAAGTATACTGCTGTAAACTGACCAGCATTACTTTCTTTGATGATAAAACAAAAATAAAATAAAAACATAAATATATATCAAGAGACACAAATAATAGACAAGCCATTTAACCTTGAGAAAATGACTGTTTTCTTACATCAAAAAAAGGGAAAGGAGAAAAGAGTTTCCAAGAAGCACAATGCCTACAGAACACTGTATTTCAGTGTTCTCATATTGTTATCGTGTGCACTAATAAGTTTTCAGATCAAAAGGCAAGTCATAACCCACATTTTACATGAAAGTTTATTTGCCTCCTTAACAGACCTCAGAAAATCCAAACTGCAACCGCTGATGGAGGGGGAGGGGAAGCAAGGGAGGGAAGTTTTATTTTTAGACTTTTTGGCAGCACTTACCAAGCACTGTAACAGTTTCAGGACAGGTGTCAACCATTGTGTAGTATTACTCTCATGTTTTATTACTGAGGACTAACTGAACCAGAAAAAATATCATACTTCATCAAGCGCAGCACTGTATTGTTAAAATGACATCCATTTTTTAATTCCTGAGTGCCAGTTATATTCATGGAAGAAAACTGAGGTCAGGGGGAGGGAGAAGTTTTTTAAAAGCCTATCACAATTTCATCTTCATGAAAGAGACACATCCCCCCCTCTTCCTCCTAAGAAAAAAAGACATATTAATTCACCCCACCAGGAGCAGGGCTCCTTCCTGTAGCACATTTTGTACATGTTTTCCTGCAACGTACTGCTGATCAGTTTTATTTTAAAACTCCCTATGTAACACGACTTCTACAAGTCCTTTCTGGCTATTATATTCTGATGTAACACTTATTATGACAATAACTAACATTTTCCACTCCCATCCCTGTTTCTTCTCATTACTGCTCTGCATACTACTTTTTTTCCTCTAAACAATGTCCTCTCTAAAGTTGTCACTGCTTAATGAACTACTACTCTTTCCTTACTGCAAATAAAAAAACATCAAACCTTATTTTTTTCACTGGCTCTCTCCACCACTACCAATACCAACTTGTCAGGAAAGTCATGCTAAACTAATAAAGTGTTCCAAATGTGGGCACACTACATCTGAGGAGGTGGAAACAATAACCTCCTCCTCCTCACAAGACACCTTCATTCACTTCAGAAGAGGATCACCCTTTTTTTACACCATAGCAAACTGCAAAATCACTTCTAATTTTGGGTGAGTATTACTCAGCAATTTTCCCTTTATTATTTGCCTGTTCTGTAGCCAGAATAGAAGTTTCTATTTTTTGCCATTAAATGTCCCTGGGTAATTTCCTATTTATATTTCATTCTTTTCAAAATCAATCGTTCCCCAACCACTTCAGGTCACCTGACCCATAACAACATTCTCATTTTTTATTTTTGTTTTTTTAGGCCACCATGCACTCTCACCACAGTTTTAACACAGAGGCTAAGCAGATGAACTATAGATTTCTTGTTACAGTGTCCATGGGGACAACTTACATTTCCTCCTATAAATCATAATACTTTATCTATATTTATTTCTGTGTTTCAACGTTCATTCTGTTCATCACCTGTCATATTCATCTTCTCAAACATAAATCTTGTTGAAAGTGAGTCTCATGCTTCCTTCACAAGATTCTCACGAAGCCCAACAGTACTCTTCATTGCCACCATCTTCTGTTTCAGGGGATTATTTCCATGTCTCATCTTCAATTACATTTACTCAAATTCAAGTTTAATTAATTTTAAGTGTAGTATTTTCTGTTCCGCATCCAATTCTTAAATATCATTATAAACAATGCAGATAGCTACACAGCTAAAACAGTCTGACATTTTCCATTATTAACACTACTTTCAGGTGCATATAAACTTTGACAAACTTCAAGCATTTAGGCTGAAATTTTCCAGGCCATATGTATGCCTGAGGCTGAAATTCTCTGGAAAATTCAGCAGAAACAGTTCAGCTATATCTAAGAATGAGGTCACAGAAAAATACATGGTTTATGTTCTCACATAAAACACTTGAAAATATGTCTTGAATACCATGCTTTGAGGCAGAGAATTTTAATTTGCCAGGGTGACACTGGACATTCATGAAGGGCAAGGCTTGTGCCCCTGTCAGAGAGAGCACCTGAATGTCACCAGACTGGGAGCAGAAGAAGAAGAAACAGAAGCACAGGAGTGGCACAGCAAGGCTTCATCAGAGGAGTTACTAAGTGTATGGAGGCAGCCTTGAATTTTCCAGAGAGAGGGACAATGGGTTAAAAAAAGCAGTGGAGACAGAAGTAAGGCAGGAAGAGTTGAAGGAGAGAAGAGGAAACAAGGTCAGGAGGTGACATGGATACAGGCCAAAGAGTCTCTGTCCCCTGGACTAGTGACCTCCAAGCAGCGGAGCTTCTGCATGCATGTAAGTTAGGAGAGCGAGCCTCACTGCCAATGCATCCTTCCTTCCCTTCTTCTCACCAGAGCTTGCCATCATTATGCTTCTCCTTGTCTTCTCCAGGTGAGCTCCTCCTGTTTCCCTCAGGTGACAGCACTCCAATTCAGACAGGTGAAGGGCTAAAGATCCTGAGATATTGCTGTAACTCCAATCACCAGGGGCTTCGGGTGACTCACACAACATTGAAATCGAGGTTGTGGCCACTGGGTATGGGTAGCAAGGGACTTGGAGATACTCAGAACTTACTGTGCACAGTGTAAGTCAGGCATCCACTGAAGGACAGGAGATAGCTGAACATGAGAGGGCTAGACTGAGAGAGCAGTAAATACTCCTCTGCAAATTACTGGGACAACCCCTAGAGTCCCACCCTAGTTGTCAGTGCTGCCTGTTCCCTCCTACCTCCAAGGTCTCAGGGAAAGAACAAACAGTAGAGTGCTATGATTGTCTCTAGGGTTGGAGAAAATGGACCCAGTGAGGAAATATCCCACGCACTGGCCAGTCCTTATGCAGACTGGCAAGTCACCACTGCTGTTCTTGACTCCCTTCGGATTAGATCCCAGCCATCCGTGTGGTGAAGCTAAAGGTGAAGACATCTACCAGTGATTGTCAACATATTTCTGCAAGGCAAAACAAAACCAAAGAGCCAGGCAGAAATGGACTCTACCTCTGCATCTACCATAGTATTTCACTAAAGGAAAAAAATTTCAAAATCTACCGATTTATTGCATCCTGGGTTGAAATTATGAGGCTTATATTGCAGGAAATGCTGTGTATCTACAGCTGCAACTACTTTTAAATTTGATGAGAGATGTGCTCTGAAGGTGTTTCCAGAAGCTGTATGTTTTAAATAGTTGGACCTACAGCCCTCAAAACTAGGCCAAACCTTCTACAACAATGCCTCAGTTTCCCATCTGCAAAAATTTAAAAAAATTGAAATAAAATTTTAAAAAAATAATCTCTTCACACAGAGGCAATTTTAGAATTTAATATGCCCATAATCAATATCACCGCAAACTCTCTAGCAAAAGAACAAATTTTGTTTTCAGAATAGTGTACAGTGAGAAAGACCTGCAGCCATACACTTAACAGAAAGAAAAAATTGCTGCTCATCAAATATTGTGTCCTTCCATATAGTGAAGGTAAAATTTCAAGGCAACTTTTCCCAAATTTAATTCATGCACAATTAATGCAATGCTTTAGCGTTGTTTTGAACTTCCAGGTTTCATTTTTGTAGTAAGTGTTTCTCTCATCCATGACATTTTTGAGAAGTTATTTATAAGGAGTTGTTAATTGAGACAGGCATATTACAATCTTATCTGAAGGTTCCTTTAACATTTATTGTTCCAGTATTTTCTTTAACATTGGTTCCAACAGTTTTCAAAGACAAGTTTTCGGTGACAGGATGATGATGACAAGCATCAACCTCTTCATGCTGCAGGGATCATAAGCCAACCCCTCCACACCTGCTCTCTAACATTTACCAAAAATTACAGCATTGTTTTAACTGCATCACATTCTTCTGAAACCACCGCACATGTTTGGCCATGAATGGATGACGTGTATATTTTCACATCTTCCATGCCTTTACTTAATTCTATTACATGCCGTACTGCAAAGTTTTAATTACTTATTAAATTTTATTTTAGTATCATTGCAGTCATCAATATCCATTTGTTTCCTTTCCCTTCTTTTACAGAACCGTCCAGTTTTTCTCTGGTGCTATTTTACTCCCAATATACACATTACCTTTTTACCAATTTATCTTGTGTTTGCTCATATTATTTTTAACTGCCATATTATGCTAGGCAAGCCTAAATGGATTCTGCTTTTTGCTTCTTATTCCACACCTCCTCTTCAATTTGCCGCATTTCATTTAAACTTTGCGTAGATCTGCAGTTCCTCAAAATACCTCAGTCTTGTTCTTTGCTTCAGTCCACAGTAATGTTATAATTTATAACCCCTTTATTATATTGCCTATCTTGTGTCAGTATCAGATTCATTTGCACATGTACTATCAGGCTCTGTGAGAACAGAGCATTTCATAAGAGTTCTTGCCTATTATGTGCCTTGTGAGTGCATTAAAACACCCAGCAGAAGGTTTGCTAACGATTTCAATAGGGCCAAGGTTTTATTCCTGGTCTTTAGATTGACAGTCCAACCATTAAGACAGGACACTGAAAAGCCTACACTGCCTACAAATAGTAACTGACAACATTTTTCTCTTACCTGCTCCTTTTTTAAATGTTTTGTGAAAAAGAATACATAAACTT